GGGGACAGGACAGGGGGGGAAATGGGGGAGCCCCAGGGACAAGGGATGGGGACAAGGGACCAGGATGGGGACAGGGATGGGGACAAGGGGGGGGACAGGGACCAGGATGGGGACAAGGGACACGAGATGGGGACAGGGATGGGGACCAGGGATCGACAAAAGGACCAGGGATGGGGACAGGGACAAGGACAGGGACATGGATGGATACAGGGACCAGGGATGGGGACAAGGACGGGATGGGGACAGGGACAGGGATGGACACAGGGACAGGATGGGGACAGGGATGGGGACAGGAACCCAAGAGGAGCAAGGATGGAGACCAGGGATGGGGACAAGATGGGATGGGGACAGGGATGGGGACAGGAACCGGGACAGGAGCAAGGATGGAGACCAGGGATGGGGACACGGATGGTGACAAGGACAAGGATCAACATGGGCATGGGGACAGGGATGGGGACAGGGACACGGGATGGGGACAGGGATGGGATGGGGACAAGGACAGGGACAGGGATGGGGACAGGAACCCAAGAGGAGCAAGGATGGGGACAGGGATGGACACGGAGACACAGGTAAGGACAGGGATGGGTTGGGGACAGGGATGGACACAGGGATGGACACAGGGACCAGGGATGGACACAGGGATCAGGGATGAGGACAGGGATGGGGACAGGGATGGGATGGGGACAAGGACAGGGACCAGGATGGACACAGGGATGGGTTGGGGACAGGGATGGGGACAGGAACCCAAGAGGAGCAAGGATGGGGACAGGGATGGGATGGGGACAGGGACAAGGGTAAGGACAGGGATGGGGACAAGGGACCAGGAATGGGGACAAGGATGGGATGGGGACAAGGATAAGGATCAACACGAGCATGGGGACAGGGATGGGGACAGGAACCAGGGATGGGGACAGGGACCAGGACCATCCTGGAGGCCCTGGATGAGGGGGTTGAGGAGGGAGGTGGCCATGGCCAAGGTCAAGGAGGGTCCTTGTCCCCAAGGTGGAGGACAAGGGGGGGGGGACAGGGACCAGGGATGGGGACAAGGATCAACACAGGGATGGGGTCAGGGACCAGGACCACCCTGGAGGCCCTGGACAAGGAGGTTGAGGAGGGAGTTGGCCATGGCCAAGGTCAAGGAGGGTCCTTGTCCCCAAGGGGGAGGACAAGGGGGGGGGGACAGGGACCAGGGATGGGGACAAGGATCAACACAGGGATGGGGTCAGGGACCAGGACCACCCTGGAGGCCCTGGACAAGGAGGTTGAGGAGGGAGTTGGCCATGGCCAAGGTCAAGGAGGGTCCTTGTCCCCAAGGGGGAGGACAAGGGGGGGGGGACAGGGACCAGGGATGGGGACAGGGACCAGGACCATCCTGGAGGCCCTGGATGAGGGGGTTGAGGAGGGAGGTGGCCATGGCCAAGGTCAAGGAGGGTCCTTGTCCCCAAGGGGGAGGACAAGGGGGGGGGGACAGGGACCAGGGATGGGGACAGGGACCAGGACCATCCTGGAGGCCCTGGATGAGGGGGTTGAGGAGGGAGGTGGCCATGGCCAAGGTCAAGGAGGGTCCTTGTCCCCAAGGGGGAGGACAAGGGGGGGGGGACAGGGACCAGGGATGGGGACAGGGACCAGGACCATCCTGGAGGCCCTGGATGAGGGGGTTGAGGAGGGAGGTGGCCATGGCCAAGGTCAAGGAGGGTCCTTGTCCCCAAGGGGGAGGACAAGGGGGGGGGGACAGGGACCAGGGATGGGGACAGGGACCAGGACCATCCTGGAGGCCCTGGATGAGGGGGTTGAGGAGGGAGGTGGCCATGGCCAAGGTCAAGGAGGGTCCTTGTCCCCAAGGGGGAGGACAAGGGGGGGGGGACAGGGACCAGGGATGGGGACAGGGACCAGGACCATCCTGGAGGCCCTGGATGAGGGGGTTGAGGAGGGAGGTGGCCATGGCCAAGGTCAAGGAGGGTCCTTGTCCCCAAGATGGGGACCGGGGGGGGAACAGGGACCAGGGATGGGGTCG